CGAAAGAATTTTTATTTGTACAGGCATACAGTAATTTAGAAATTTGCATGTAGGTTAAGCTAGCCGAGAGCTTTTTTATATTTTACTGCCGATATAAAAAATAAAAGTAGGATCGCTGAAGTAAAAAAAAAAAAAAAAAAAGTAAAAATACAGTAATATAGTTTTACATTACACTTGAGTTGCCTACAATAAGTGAAGATTGATATAAAATACACATATGGGGGTGCCAGTAGAAACCAAAAAATTTGTTTCTAAGTAATTTTTTTAAACTTTAAACTAAAATATCTCAATAACTACTAAACCAAACATAATAAAAAATTTTTTATTTTAATTCTATATAGTTATAGAATTAAAATAAAAAAAAATTATCAAGTTTGGTTTAATAGTTGTTAAGATATTTTAATTTAAAATTTTAAAAAAACTTAATAAAAACAAATTGCTTGGTTTCTACTGACACCCCCCCATATATATACTACATTGTTGTATATAATATGTGAGCCAATTAAACTACTTGTTTATCTCCTATGTTTTATCACACTATAAGCTCCTTAATATTTTATAAATAATGAATAATACTAAGCTAAAAATAACTAAAATTTTTATACAAAATGCTACACTAAAATTTACTTTGTAATAGCATAAAAAAATTTTTTTTGCCTCATGAAATTTTTCTTTAATGATTTTAATAGGCAAATTTGCCCGCCAAAACAGACGGTTTAAGGGATAGAATTTATGTAATATATGATGTTTTAATATTATACCGGGTTTCTAATCATTGTTTCTTATAATATAACCGGGTCTATTTCATATTACCAAAATTTTTATCTAGGTTATAGCCCCGGATCTAATTCACAGTGGGTCTACTATTTTGGTGAGTCTCTTGCACTTTCACGGTACCCTAGATCGCCACCAAAATTTCGGCGCAAACCAATTATATTTCAAGATCAGGTGTAACGTAGAAAAACTGCATATAAAACTACCTTTTGTGCTCTAATAAAAAGTTTTCCTTGGGTGATTTACTATATGCCAGCCTAAATCTAACTCTAATATAAGCTCTAACCCTAACATGATCACGTGTCGGTGAAATTTTGGTGGCGATCTAGGGGAAGATAGGGACGGGACGACCCCGCAATTGGTCAATCGTATAGATTATCGTTATCTGTAAATTATCTGAAATAGAAGCGATAATATGATTAAACTTTTTTATCGAAAATGAATACAGCGAAAGCTCTCCGTTTAAAAAGTAAAATAAATTGGACGTCTAACCAATTCCTCTTTCACCCTCGAAGGAATCGCACATCTATTTACGATTTAAACGCTTTGACAGCATTAGAACATTATATGCAAAAAACATTGTCCGACATAACAATTAAACATACACCAACAAAAGTAGTATTTCAGCAATATTATTATACTAATGCAATACAAGCACAACGACGTGGACTCGAAGATACTGCTAATGGATCCACGAAAGAAGATAATGAAATATTTACTCCCACAGCACTAAATAAACTTAAAGAACGTTTATCTAAATTATACAACAAAGAAGTCGAATTTACTTTAATTAAACAACATTATCCATACCTTAATAGCAAGATATTGGCCCAATACATCGCTTTAAACGCATCGCGTTATAGGTTTAGGCAAATTCGGCGTTCACTTTTCAAAAAAATTCCATTGGTTGGTGGCAATCCACAACAAAATAATCTTA